GGAAAATGTGCGTTAATGGCTGCAACGTAAAATTGAAACAGAATGTTATGTAATATTCGGGAAGTGTTCTCAGAATCAATTCAGGATTTCAAAAAATATGTATAAAATATATATGTATAATAAATAAAATATTTGGTTGCTTAGAAAATTGAAAGGAATATATATATATATATACACTTTTAATCTCGAATTATGAAACGATCTCGATTATTATACGAATAATTTCTTTGAATATTATTTTCGGAGTTCTTCGAAAGAAAAGCAACTTTGACGCATTTAACTTTAGATTTCTGTGTCGCGACTTTTCCCCGAGATAGGAAAGGAAGGTATCCTATAAAAGCGCCACACAAAAGACAGACAGATGACTCCCGCACGGTAAGACACGAAAAGTGCTAGGGACTTTGCCTGTCACTGCCAGGCAATATAAGGGGACGAAAAACGAAAAGGGATCATAAAGACGCATCGGACGTAACTTGATTATCCGCGCGAAAAGTATGAGACGACGTGCCGTTATACGACGTGGTAATTCGAGAGCTCTCTCTCTCTCTTTCCCTCTTTGCTCTTTTACAGCTCCCTTATGTCAAGAGCAATTCTCCGCTGTAATTTAATCGGCTGTCGATAGGCGACAATGGTGGCTGTAATCTAAAATTACTTTTTAAGAAGAAGCGCGTTTCTTTTCTCTTTCTTCCTCTCGAACGACGTTTATTAACGTCAGACAGCGTTGAAAACTGCCGTTACGAGCTCCTATATTTTTTTTCGTCGTATCGCACGAAAATTCCACGAAGATAAGGAAAAGTTGGCGTGGCTTGATTTGTAAAAAACACTTCTCTTGCGATAGCTTCGCCTTGACGTCTCGTAATGTCACACTTAGCGCGACAGGATGACGCAAGATAAAAAGTTCGGATTAATGATACGCGGGATCGTAAGCTCCGATGACGAGTACGAAAACTTTAAATTCTCATTTAATGATTCTAATGCAATTATAATTTATTTCCATGTCCCGGACATTTTTTTCGTAACTATATAAATGCTGCATGGATTTAAATCAATTTTTAATTAAAGCTCCATGCACTCAAAGTTAGAAAAAAATAAACATGTTCGTCAACATCAGCAGTTTTACGTCAAAATATGTATTTATCAAAGATCTATGCTATTTGTTTTTATTTGCAAACTTTGTAGAATATTGCAACAGCTGAACGCACTCGCGGTTAATATCGATTGCATAAACATCGTCGAATTTAGAGACTTGTTATGAAACTGTAACATCACGCTTTCAACGAGAAAAACAGAAATGTCGTAGATTAATTGCACACGACAAAATAAATGGTTTTTTTCGATCGTAGTGTCACGTCGCTTCGTTCTGCTCGGAATTGACTTTCGACGTGTCGGAAGCTTGCCGATCGTTCTCAAGTCAATCATACCTATGATAGAATAATGGCTGAACAATGAAAGCGTTTCGATTGGATATATTTCTCAATAGTTATAACACACATTCCTTGATTCCTCTTGCCCCCAGGAGTCGAGATAGTTAGTTAACCAGTGTGTACTTGAGAGCTTAGAACGTTATCGTAAATTCGTATTAAGGGTACCTACGCACGTCGGCACGCCTGTAACCGATAAGGACCCGATAGGAAACCCGAATTTAGGTCAGATGGTATCCTCTAATAACTCGGCGTACTAATACGCTTAGTTGCACAGCCACGTCTGATGTGTGATAGGATGAGATGCATCATATCTCTTCCGTCCTAGATTACTGGTGCACTTGAAAGCTACTGTGCGGACACGCACGTACGGATCCGTACACATCGTAAATGTCAGATATACGACGTCCCTGTTTGTCGTCGGAACACATTCCGCGTGTCGCGAAATCACATTGATTGTCAGACATAAACCATTTTCAAATCTTTTAAGCCATGAAGAATTTAAAAACTATCGTATTTCATTCGATTAATTTTCGCCGCATATAATTATCATTAATCATGTGGATTAATTTTTAATAGAAATAAAAATTCTAACAGGAATGCTATTTATTTTTTATTATATTTGTTTTAAAGATATGAACATATTATTGAGCTGTCCAAAGCGAAATATTAATTGTAAATTGAAATACGATTATTGCAAACTCTTTTGACAAGCAAATAAAATGTATAGAAAGTCGCATTTAAATGTCATCTCTAATGGAACGCAGAGAAGAAGATAGGTTCGTGACCTTTTTACTTTACCAGTATAGACAGCACCTTTCACACTCGTAACTGCGGATAGGATTGCAGATTCTCGATACTTACGAATGATCCCATGTGTGCGAATAAACGACTTCGGTGCACGCGAATGTCAAGAATATTGCATCGATAACCCGCACATGAAATGCCGAGGAGCCGGGCGATGCACCGTCAAAGTATGGATATCGCGATCGATGTCTCTGTTTCCTGCTACTTTTATATTTTTACGGAAGTTATTGCAAAAACATGCTGCTTTCCGCCGAGGATGATAACGAGAAATTTTAATAAGCGAATATCAATCGCTGATCGAGTTTTAGCGAATTATCCGAAGCGCAAACAGATAACACGACATTAAGAAAATATTATATATATATATATATATATATATATATTTTTTTTTTTTTTTTTTTTTTAATTTGTTGCATTTTATAAACCACGACTTTCGCGTTATGCGCGTCAGAATTCTTTACTGCGCAGCGCGGTTTATGTCTCGACCTATGATTATATTACGTAGAAAATATTTGCCCGGAGTTTAGTTACAGCAAACACTCCGTAACAACGACTGAAGCAGTACTACGAATGTAAACATTACTGTGAACGAAGCTCCGCTTCGTGCATGCGTCTACCAACGCGATGCCTAATGTGCATAAATTGTAAACTTGAGAGGAGCTGCGAAGCGTAAGTGCGTCATCGATAATCTGTTTCGCTTCCATCTAGATTAAAAATTTTCACGCCCTTCAATTTCATTTCCTTACATTAGTTTATCAGAAATTTTTTGTACATCTGTCAATTTCTTCCGGTGTAAAAAAAATATCCATCTTTTTATTTTTTAATTACGAAAATATTTTTCTCTACTTTTGTGACATTTTAAGCATTTTAAGAACTTGCGCCGTTCTTGAAATTTTTTCTGCTAATTAATGAAGGAAAATTAATGATTTCTTCAATATACGCAATGCTGTTTACTGATGTATTCTCATAATATTTACATTTATTTCGAATTCGTAATCGACGTAATATACCACACTGTACGATAAAGGTTTTTACGCGTCAATGGCGCAAGTGTAGCAATTATGAAAATGATTGATCGCGTGTGTTGGCATTGTGTAATCAATAATTCGACAGATTCGTATACTATAATAGTTGTTGTTCTATTATGAAAATACCTCCACATATTGTACGTCGACCTGGGTTCTGGTTTATCCTGCTTTGCCACAAAGGTCCGATTTTCGATGGTTTATGGCGAGAAACTCGGTTGCTGGACGCGTACTAATTCGATGCATGCACCGATAATGCACCGCGGAATCTGCTCGTGACAAATATCAACATAAAGGAGCTTAGCAGTGAGGAAGGTATTTGTAACTGTATCCATGAAACGAAACAGATTACGCGCTATCCAGTTTAACTCGACACGTATATTCAAGAAAGAAACTACAAGCAAACTAAAACGTCAGATAAGTAATAGAAAAAAAGAACAAAGATTAATTTTAAAAAAACTTTTCACACAGTTTTTCTTCTTGAAAATTATCCGAATAATACGTACCGTATATGTATATCTTCTTCGAAAATACCGAATATAAAAAATTGTAAATAGCTCAGTTGGAAGAGCAGTCGCCCGGCAAGCGAAAGGTCTCGGGTTCGATTCCCGATTCAGCAACTTTCGAATCTATATTTTTCTCTCGCATTATTTCCTTAGAGGGGAAGAGGAGATGTATGGAATTAAATCTCTTGTAGAGATTATTCCAATTTTAAATCTTGGCCGTGACCAAGTAAAATTTGGTGCCTTGTGCACAGGTATTTAATTCTAATGGAAAAAATTTTAGTTTCGTTGGGATAACGCACTGTCATCCGCGATTTGGCTCTTATTGCCTGTCTTACATTTTAAATTTATATAAAAAATTGTAATGCTCTTTGAAACGAGACACTAGCAATGATATCAAAATGTGAGAAGAGCAGAGGAAAGATTATCTTTATTTCTACATCAGAACGTAGCTTACGCGCGGTAAACGCCAGAAACTCGCAGAATACCCGATGCTAATGTCCGGAAGGGCTCGTTGCAACGACGCTAAAGGGTCCTTTGTGGAGCTACGCATACGTTCCGAAATTCCTGCGTCGTTGTTGCATCCGCGCTCTCACAGATACACACTGGGCGCGCTGTATCTGTCTATATTGAAAGAGGAACTTTGAGGACAGTTGAAAGAGCTGCCATGCATTCTTCGAGAGCCGCTCGTTACCGGGATTTCGTTACGAAGAATTCGGCGGAAGAATTTGCTCTTGTTGCACTGCTCGAGAGCGGGCCAATCGAAATGTTCCTTTTACCTTCTTTAAACATTTAGTATTATCATGAAAACTGTAACGTAGGGAAGAGAGAGAGAGAGAGACTCGCGTTTTATATGTATATAACAAGAAAATATCTTATAAATATGTAAAGCTTTTGAGATACGAGATAGTTGAAGAATATATGCGTTTTATGCATGATCAATGAAGTGGAAATTCTTCAAACTCTTCGAGTGCATAATATTAATAATTTAACATCACTGTGAAAGAGTATTACTTGGCAAATCTATACATATGTATTTGGTTATTAAAGACTGTCATTTACCTATTTTTAATAAATGAATATTGAACTTGATAATAGGTAGATCAAGTTAACTCAAATAAAAATAATGGTATAAATAATAGTGTGTGTTTAATTTGTCGAAAATTATATATTGTATGTAATTTCTCTATTTCTCCACATACACGCGAACTCTCAACACTAACAGACGATTTCTATTATTGCAGTTTGATACGCCGAGATACGAGGCCAGAGCCAGCGATACGATGTTCGACTCTAAGAGGAGCGACTAGACTGCCGTCAGCGCCAGACCATCGTAGTGAAGCTCGATTAAGGATAGACCCGAAGGTGCTGGTCTTCGTAGAAACTCTATACTCGAGACTGGGCCGAGAGATAGCTGAACTGCTAGTTTATAATCGAATAAAGTAAGTAAAAATTATTTTTCTTTCGCATACCAGGCATTGAACAATCAAATAAGCGGCTTTACTCGATCGTTGATCGAATAATGTTAAATCCGTACGATTAATTGTGCAAATTAATTGTACATTCCGATAGATAATGATAAAATAAATTATTTGCTTTGACGAATAAAGCCCGTTTATTATGAATGCTTGACCTACTTGCATGTACTGCATTTCGCAACGTCTTTTATGTGCATCGACCTGATTCTGGAAAAAAAGATTTTACCCTTAGCACGATCTAGAAGTAGGTTACCAACGTAAGCTTTCTTCGGAGTTCTCAGCCGCAATAGTTCATACTATTAGGCAAAAAGTACCCGGCTAATGGCACACAGTTGCTAAAGTCGATCAATATCGCGACATAGTATCCTGAACGAGTTGTAAGCTCGCTAGTCCGCGACCTTTTTTATCCGTAAAACGCGGACTTTTACCTCTTTCGTGAGGAAAGGATAGTAAATGATGGTATTCTGTGAGTTTTTAAAGCGAGTACTTTATTCTCGTATTTTTAAACGAGAGATGATATACTCGCATGTTTGCTTTAATTCTCACAAAATTGTGCACCGAATTTCTCAACATGCCATCGAGAATTTGAGGAAAAATTCGTAAATTGTACTTTTATTATGTAGGAAGTTGAATTTTTATTTTATTTTTACAACAGTACTTTTGTGTTAGCGTCGCAAATGTTTACCGGAAAATGTTTCGACATTTTTCCGGAAAGGAAAAACCATGACCTAGATCTTGTTGTAATTCCGCACTGTCGATCCAAATTTTTTAAAAAATTCCAGCCGTTATAATTCCCCGACAGAGATTCCGCAAATCTCGGTTTTGCTACATCGTCGGGCGATGTTATTTCGTGAATGTCGGTATAAAAATTAGAAATGGAAATTTCTTGATCGTCGCGAAGTCCATGCAGTTTTTACCGCTATTATATGAGTACCGCGAATATTTTAGAGTCATATTTCCCGTAGATATATATGAAAAATCGGTTAAATGCCGGCGCAAATTATTTCAACTCCCACAATCGCTTTTTATTAATTTTTCAATTGTGTCCGAATAATTTAAAATTCTACATTAAATTAAAAAATTGCCGAGAAAATTATATTAATTTATATAGAATAACATATAAATTCCAAAATCAACAAGGAAAAAATGAAATATGCAAAGAAGAATATCTAACATTGAAATATCAACGTTCATATGCATGCATATTCACACAACATGCAACTTTGCAGAGTTACATATTGTTAATACATGACAATATGTATTAACATGTAAGCGCGCATAACTGTGGGTATAACAGTATAGTGTTCTGATATTCGGATAACTTCTTATATAAATATTAATAACGTTATCCGTAGAGTATACAGTAATAGAGAGAGAGAGAGAGAAAAGTTCAGTATAATCGTTCGGTACAGTATAACTTACGTGTAACGCGATAAAACTGTATAACAAATCTATATCAGGCGATGCAATTTTGCACCCATTTACAGCTGGCGCGCGAAATCTCGCATTTCCATTCCACGAAAATGGAACCGTGATGAGCGTTTCTCTGAAAAGTTTAACGAATCTAACGCTATCGGAGACACGGTGTATCGTGAAATTTACTCTATTCATGATATGCGCATTCGTTAAACAGTAATAGCCGGGTCAAGCCCGTTATAGAGGAGTCGGGCCGTACGAAACTTTGGCGCGGGATGAGAGAGAATTTAAGCCGGATGTGTCTCGAAGGGGGATAAGATTGCGAGAGAATAGAGAAGAAAAAAACGCGAAAGAGCTGCGCCGTGCATTCTTTCTTCCTCTCTACGTATACGTATACGCGTTATCTCCCGATTCTTCCGCGGCTGATCAAATGATAGCGCGCGGTTCAATGCCTGCTTCCGCAGGTTTTCGCGACTATTATAGCGCGGCGCAGCCACACAATATACACACGAGGAATCATTATGTATAGAGTTTAGAATACAGTCCTCGCTGATAGAGAGACTATGACGTGATCGACAATCCTCCTCCGCTGTATGGTAAAAGGGACGAAGAACACGCGAGTATATATAATACATATCGCTCGATATGCGCGAATGCGCGCCTTCGAAGTGGCGTATGGGGTGAATTCCCTTCTCGCGTGCATATCCAGAAGAGAGAACTCCGGAAAACTGCGAAAAGATAAGCAGCTAACAGCGGTTCCAGGGCGATACGTGAGCGCGCGTGGGAGAGATCCACCGAGCTCATCGTATGCGGCGGTCGCTCGTTTGCTTTATCCGGTGCAATTTCATAATCGATATTGGCGCCTGAGGGTGGAAAGAGAGAGAGTCCACCTGTGCGCGCGCGACGCCAGGCAAATTTTGTTGTCGGAGATTGCGAGACGCAGATATGGGAAAACACAGCAACCCCGAATCGTGTTCGCCGCGAGCTTGCGTATATATTTTATATAACGCATACACGTAACCGCGTGAAAGTGTACGCGTATATCGACGCACCAACGTGTATATCTAATGAAATATTTATTCGTGTTGGTGTGCACGCGTGCACCTTTGCGAGGGAACGTGGAAGAGCACATCGTCGTGTCTACCTCACGCCGCTTGGTATATACGTGTAATGCGATATGGAAAGTTTTGAATCTGCGAGATCCAGCTGCGCTAGATAAAACGTGATATCTTGCCCCGGGATACTCCCTCAAACCGGGGACGTAAGAAAAATAAAGGTGAAGGAAGAAGTTTCTATAAGCGAGTTGAGTTTTCAACCCATTTTATATCTTACATATGAGAGAGAGACGGTGCATCGTTTGTTTTCTCTTTCTTATAGCTTTTATTGCTTATTAACTACTTTTATGTGCACCCGTATCGCTTTATCGATTATGCTCATGTTGCGAATTATGAATAATATATAGATATAAAACATACTCATACAAGATGTTTCGGATTATTGGGAGTTTATTCTATCGGAAATATTTACATGAATAAAAAAGGATTTATAGACTAAAGCATGTAAAATAAGAAACACTGCTGTTTCTCTCATTCATCATCTCTTGATTTTCTCTTTTTTCCTTGATATTAAACATTAATTTTCAATATTGGAGATCAAGCTTTAATGACTCGTGTAAAATACGCGAACGAAAAACGTTTATAAAGAACACAGCAGAAAGTACCGAATTAGAAAAGTTTCCGCGAAAACCGATTAAACTATCGAATGTCAATTGTGTTCAATCGCCAATATTCTATATTCGACACATGTCAATCAAACGGAATATTTTCTCATCTCTTTCGCGATTTATTTTTTAATCCAGTTTTCCAACGATGGACTTTTCGATGCGTATCTGTCTATCTATAGGGACCTTCAATAAACGTTCGCGCATGTTATCAGGCTGGAGAAAGAAATCTTCTATTTCTCAATCGAGAGCGGCGATATCGATCACGCTTCTCTCCAGCACCGAGAGAGGGTGGAAAAAGGGGGAAGGAGAGAGGTTCGCCACCCTCATCCTCTCTATTACACCTCGATAGTAACGCAGTATGCGCGACATGGTCTTCGTTACCCGCGGCAGCATCGATAAGGGAAAAGGGTGGCGACCGAGCAAAGGGTAAACGTTCCGTGGGGCGGAAGCGCCTATCAACCCTTCGCGTATTTTTTTCGTCGCGCCCCGACGAGAGACTCATTTGAAATCCGTCTTTTCATTTCGCGACTCCCTTTTTGTACCCTTTGTTCGCACGCCTTCTCTCTTTCGCAGATTTTTTTTTTTTTTACTGGCTCTCTCCATCGTCTCACGACAATCTCGCGTACATAAACAACCCCTTCTTGGCTCGTAAGAAAAATAGATGAACGGTGCGTGTCGCCGTGAATCCAGGAGGAGTAATGCGTCGCGAATGCATCCTATCCTGTCGCGCGCAAATGACGACATATATTTTTAGCTTCTTCAGTATTTACGAAAGGCGGGAACGCCGTTGCGCGCACGTGCCAGCTTTCGTGTATACGCACGAGGTTGAATTTTTAATGGCGGGAGGCTTGCGCCCCGTCTCTTCGTGATTTCTGGCGTACGCGCTGTAATATACGCGAGTGTTACAAGGCTCGTTCGCGCGGAAGTAACATCTCGCGTGCAACGGAGATATTTCGGAATTACGATGAAAAATATGCGGCGTTTATTCAGCCTCTTTCTCGCGAGCGAGCAGTCGGGGAAGCCGTCGTTTATTTTCACGAACCCCCTAAGAAGAAAATCAACGCGTCTGTCACGTAAACTCCGCTATTTATACCAAGTCAAGCTGCGTACGACGTGTACAAGTGGTATTGCGTAATTATTTGAAATATTACTACCTTGAATAAGGATAAAGAAGTACGTTCTCCCGCGGGTAGCTACAACTACCTGCTCGCGCTACGGTTTGTTTCCATTATTTAGCCGTTGCAAACGTAATAGCTTCTATCTAATGCAGATGTTGCGGAGTCGGAAAGCCTTGATGTATCACCGGCGTAAATTCTTGTAGCGCCAAAAAATATGTAAAATACTATTACACGCGATATAGACTACGCGCTAATTAGAAAATCGCTTTATATTTTGCGCGTGAAACGTATATCTACTGTGAAATTTTTTAACAATTCTTCATCTTTTTTTATTCATTTTTCCGAACGTCATATCAATCGATTATACCTACGATATAAAAGTAATAGTATACTATGATCTACTATGCCTTAATAATTAAATGAACGAGATACATCTAATAATAGTACCAGGAACAGATGGCTACCTAGCGCAACATAAGAAATTCAAACCTATGACGGCATATACGAGCAAAGAAGCCCATATAAGGAAAATAGACTGATATTGATTCAGATATAATGTGAGATATTTTAAAACGCTGTACACACACAATGGCGAAGAGTTGTCTATTTTTACCGGTTTCATTCACGACATATACATGTTTACATAAGGACATAAGCGCCGATCGTAAAGTTGTTTATCTACATAGTATTGCGCCATGGTTTTTTTG